TTTTGGGAGAAGTCCTCACTTTTTATTGCTTTTGCTTTTGCTATTTTTTTTTGTAAGCAAGTTCAATTATTAACCTAGAGTTTGGGCCCTCCACCTTTCGGCGCGAGAAATTCAGTGCTTGATGAGGCTAGAATCCCGGCTACTTAGTGAAAAGGGGTTGTTATCCACCTTTATCAAGAATCAAAGCTTTTAATGAACTACTAGCCCAATTGGGATATAACCAATTCAATAATCAACAAAGCATGTACCCCACAAATGAATGCTAGTGTGCGCCTGTGCTAGTGAAGAATCCTAGAATGAATCTCAAAACAATCATAAAATCAAGATGATGTGGACCACAAATGCAAACAAGATATCAATCTTTCGAAAAATTTACTCATAAATGGCATCCACAAGGCATACAATGAGTATTGGACTCTCAAGTCAAGCAATTTTTAAATTTTAAGCAATATAGTCCTCAAAAGATCAAAATCATCGCTAACATCAATCTTAAATCTCAATCATGCATTTAAGTCTCAAACTTAAGTAGAATGCAACAAAGACACCTTACCCCCAAACTTAAACTGCACATTGTCCTCAATGTGCAATGAGAACATTGGAAAAGATGGAAAGAGTATACTGTGGTGATGTAGACATGAAGCCCGGCAGCGATCCAATTCGAAAGACGTCTCCTTCAAACTTGGAATTAATAACCTACTTGAATAACCACACTAGCAAACTTACATCAAATATCAAATGGGATAAGAATAATCAAATCATGCAATCTAAGACAATATAGCACAAGATGAAAGAGAGATATGAGATCAAACCCTAATTAAAGCATGAATACACACAAGGGTACAATGGTGAAACCTTTTTTTTTTTTTTTTTAATATTTTCATTTAATGAAAACAAATATATACAAAATGCAAGAAAAACAAAGAATAAAATGCATAAACAAAATATAAAAAGAAAAATAAGAATGTAAAATGTAATGAAAGAATATATACAATGCAAGAAATGAAAAACAATATGTACAATGCAAGTATATACAAAATTTTCTTACTTTTTATTTTTCATTTTCATTTTTTTTTTTTTTTTTGACATAATAAGTATGTACACACACACAAATAAAACAAATAAACATGCAAGGAAATAAGGGATGCAAAAATTTGTTTTTTTATTTATTTATTTTTTAAGAAAGTATGTATAATGAAACAAAATGCAAGAAAAATAAAGAAATAAAAATGAGAATGAACATGTATGAAACAAGAGATAAATGATATAATGTGTCATGTGGGTGCTAAGTTTAACGTCTCTAACAAGACGGAATGCTACTTTGAAAAACCGTTTTTTTTTTTTTTTTTAGACAAAACAAATATGTACATAAACAAAAATAAAAAGGCAAGTAAATAAAAATGTAAGAAGTAAAAATGTAAAGAATGCAAAGAAATAATTTTTTTTTTTTTTTTGGAAAAAGAAAATGAGAAATAAAATAAAATAAAAATAGAAAAAGTCAAAAAGTCAAAAAGTCAAAGGGGCAAAGCTGTGATCGATCTATGCTCGCACGATGGGATAGAGAGTATGAAATTTGTAGTGCTTTGAAAATTTTTCTAAGTATGGAATCTCGATCGATCCAATAATGAAGTTGGATCGATCGAAGAACTTTATATCGATCTAGGAATGTTTTCGATTGATTTGACAGAGAGCTGAAATATGCAGGTTGATGCAGGCTCAAAACTACAGATCGATCGAACTTGATGTTTGGATCGATCGAAGGTCTTCTGATCGATCTAACTGAGAACTGAGATCTGAAGATTTTCTTGGATCGATGAGACAGAGTGATTTGGATGCATGTTTGCTGCAGGAATGAAGTTCGATCGATTGAACTCTCATTTGAGATCGATTGAACTCTCATTTGAGATCAATCGAACTTATGCAAAATGCTCAATTTTCAACACGAAAGTGCAGAAAACCCTATGCTAAGCCCCAATGATGGTAACAAAAATAGAGATTGAAAAATGGATAGAAGAATGTACACAAAAACGAAAAATAAAAATAAATAATAAAAAGAAATGGGAGAGGTTTAGAGTTGAAAACTACGAATACTAGTATTTAACGTCTCTAGCAAGACGTTGGGCCAACTCACTAATCAAAAGAATCAAAAACCGGATATGAAACATCCTTATTGATCCTCTTTTCCATTTTCTCATTTAATGTCCCACTTACAACAATAAAATCATCCTCCAAAAGAATGACTTGAAAAGAAATGAAAGAGATGATATTATTCCTTTCATCCACGGTCTTGAAAACAAAATTAATAATGGTTGGGCTTGCCACTTTGTTGTGTTCTTGAAACACATTCAAATGATCATTCACTTTGATAATTGGTGAGACGTTGTTTTTCAAAGACTCATTTGGAATATCAAGAAACACCTTCTCTTCATCCCTCTTTTCTTCCTCAAAAATAACCATCTTCTCACCGTCCAAGTTAGCTAAGGAGTCTATTAGAGAGTTCACTTTATTTTTGGAGCTTTCAAGATCAAAACCACAATTTTTATACATTTCAAAAAGGCATGTCTCAAGAGGGTCGTTGGAGATAATAGAAGGAAGGCCCTTTTCAACAAGTTCCTCCTCCTCCTCTCCTACCTCAAGTGTGGTCAACATTTCCTCACTCTCTAAAGTAGCAATATCCGAGATAAAATCATAATCAAAACAAGGAAAGTCCTCATTAATCATGTTATGCTCTATTGGATTAGCCACTAACTCACTTGCCACTTCCTCCTCTATACAAGATAGAGTGCTAGGCATTAGCTCACTTGTCTCATCCTCCTCTTCACTCTCATCATCCTCATCTATATACATTGAAGTTCTTGCTATTTTTTCATTTGTCTCTTCCTCCTCCTCTTGACGAGAAAGAGTACTTGCAATTTGCTCAACTTGAGCTTCAAGCTTGGCTAAAGTTTGAGAATGAGAATTAATAAGTGGAGTTTGTGAAATATGCACATCAAGTAAAACTAACACTTTTTCTTCAAATCCGGGTGAGTACCTAGAAGGTGGTGGAGTTGGTTCATCATAAAATGGTGGGGGAGGGTAATAGTCATAAAAAGGATTAAATGAGTGATCAAGTCCATGATAAGATGATGCATGTTGAAATGAATTGGACTCAACCTCATAAGGATCAAAATATGGTGGAGGGACATAAGGGGAAGGGATATAATTTCCCCCCAAACTTAGATTAAACAATTCCTCCATTCACAATTAAAACCCAAATGCAACAAATAATGGCCTCAACAAGGGCCTATGCTTGGACAAAGATAAAGCAATATAATAAGCCTCAACAAGGGCTATCACAAGCATGCAAAGAAGTGAAACAATTAAAATACAAGAGTTCCAAGAATTGCTCACAACGGTCCTTAAGCAACTTCAAATTTTAATATTAGCTTTAAGCTCCAATTATTGCTTCAAGTTCCAAAGTTTGCCTTCCTTATAGTCAAGTACCTAATTGAACAAATAATAATAAGAACAAGAGAAAAGAATATACAATGAAAAATAAAATAAAAATAGAAGCAATCGAATGAACACTATTATTTAGTTTAATTCCGACAAAACCGTCAATCCCTGGCAACGGCGCCAAAATCTGACGAGGCCGCTTGATATATGCCAAAATAATGTAATGAATGTGCGGTTCAAGAAAAGCCTTTTAGATCAAGTTTAAATTTATAAAACCACTACCACCACTACTGCTAACGTAGCAAGAGTGAACATAGACATGTAAATAAACTAGAGAATTAATAAGAAGAATTAAACCATAGAAATCATAGAAATATACCAAGATTCATGAAATTCGCAAGGCTAGAACACTAATCACAACAATATATATAAATCCCCAAAAATAGAAATACAAGGGTTTAGATTACACAAGACTTAGGGCTCATCCAAGCCCTAAGTATAGATCTAGCCAATCATGGAGGAGGTGGATGTGGTCATGGAATCAAGCTCCAAATATGGCTCCATCTTCTTCTTCCTCTTCTTCTTCTTCTTCTTTGAAGCTCTAGAGTTGGAGAGAGAGAGTGGTCTAGAGATGGATCTTGAGATGTGCCTCCACTTCCCTCTTTTCTTCTAACCCTAATCTCTAATTTTACTAGAGAGAGAAATATAAATTACAATGTAGAAATAAAAATGATAAAAGCTTCTTTACAAAATGGGTCACTTCCCTTTATATAGAAGGTCCTTTTCTTAGTCACTAAGTCAGGAATATAGCTCCAAAAAAATATCTAATCCCGTACTATGTGGTAGGTGGGAGTTTTGGGCACGCACAGGAATAAGACAGCTCGCTGCCAGCAAAAGTTCGATCGATCAGAGAAAAGTTCGATCGATCCAACTTTGATTTTCGATTGATCCAACTTTGATCAATCTCACTTTCTGCGATCGATCTCATGATTGATCTCACTTGACAGCTTTTCAGGATCAGCCTCTCTTTGCTCCAAATCAACCTCCTTTTGCTCCGGATCCTCACCAAGACTTAGTTTGACTCCAAAAAGGCCTTAAGAAACCATTTTTAGTCCATTTTAATATTATTGACCTGAAATAGACAAAAACACAAATAAGTACTAAAACGGGTAAATAAGATAGATAAAAGTCCTAGAATACTCAAGCTTAAGGGGTTTAAAAGTATACTTTTCAGCGCTCATCATCCTTTAATCAGTTGGCCGATGTGTTCACCAAATCTGTTGGTCCATTTTTGCTTCATTCTTCGATTACCAAGCGGGCTTCATTCTCTAACATTATGTTGTTAGCTTTGTGAGTTCCAAGTAGTTGGGTTTAAAGCTGTGAAGTCAAGTTTATTTTATCGTATTTTTTGTTGTACATGTGCAAATTTCAATATATTACACTTAATAACTTGAAGTTTAAATTGCTCTGTCTATCTCTCTGTCTCTCTCTCCATGCATATATAATTTGTTATTTCCTTTCAAGCAACCTTGTGCGAGTTAAGTATGAGCTTTGGAGTTTTATAACAGGTGACAGTTTCAGATCAAATAAAGCAACATTTAGGGAAGTTTTTCAAAAAGATCAACCTGAAAAAGTTATTTGCCCCTTCGACTATTGGAGCGGTATGATCCCACTGCTTATCATTTTCAGTTTATATCACTTTAAATATTGTGCTATTGTTTATGATATGCTCGTGTATAGATTCATTAGCTTGGTAATCATCTTAATACAGAAATTGGGAAAATTGAAGTATATTTCATAACCTTCCAATACAAAGCAGCCCGACCTTTATAGGCTGAATACAATCCAAACAGAATCCAGTAAATTAAGGAATATACAACCAAATCCCGAAGATCAGGAAATAAACTAAGTAAACCTAAAATTTAATGCACCAGATATATTATCCTATAATTAGTACAAAATCGGATAGTTTATACTTTCCAAATTTATCTAACAATTACACAAAACATGTAATTCTCCTACACATCTAAATGAGTCTTCTACTTCCACAGCCAACATGATCTTTTGATTTTGATCATGAGAGGAACAAAAGATGTGGTGAACAGGCTGCACTAAATTCATTAACATGGTGGTTTTGATCATCTGCCAAAATTAAAGTTCATTTATTTATTTATTATTTTTTCCTAGGAAGGTTTTTCAGCGGTATCTATTTCATGGTAGGTCCTTTACCTATCATACAAAAACTTGATATACAAGTAAATCAACATCATCATCTTTGCCTTACTCCCATATGAATGGGGTCTGCCGTATGAATTCTCTTGTTCCATTCTTTCTATTACAAGCCATCTCTCTAAAATTTAACCTTTTAAAAATTTCTAATGATTTCATCCCATGTTAATTTCGAACACCCTACCTCCTACCTTCTATGCAAATTAACCTTCCTCTTCTCACCCGTGCGTCTATAGGTCTTTTGTGTATGTGTCCATACCACCTAAGTCTACTTATTACTAATAGGTGACACTAATTTCTCCCTCACATTTGGTTTGTAACCCAGCTCTTCTAGTCACTCCTATCATCCATCCTAACATCCTCATTTCCGCTACGTAGATTCATTGTTCTTGCTTCCTTTATTAAAGCCCAACACTTTGCACCATATAAAATAGTTGGCCTATTAACCATTCTATAAAATTTTCCGTCTAGTTTATATGGCATTCGTTTATCACACAATGTGCCACTAGTTTGCATCCAATTTGTCTAACCTGCGCTAATTCTACTTGTTATATCACCATCCATCTTACCGTCGTTTTGTATTAATAACCCTAAATACTGAAAGTGTTCACTTTAGATAGTCATTTGATTTTGAAGTGTAATCATTACCTCGTTAATATATTGGCTCTTTTGTTGATTTTTTTTTTTTTTTGATAAGTACTAATGAAATAAAAAGGCGTTCAAAAGGGGAGCACGTCCCTTAAACAATAGTGGAACCGGGTCTAAGGCCCCAAAGAATCCAAGAAGGTAATTAAATTATTAGAAGAGGAACAAGAACTCCTCTTCACATGATTGAAGAGAGAACGAATAATAAGAAGTTTCAGCATCACCGTAGACGACTCCTTCCCTTCGAACATTCTGCTATTTCTCTCCTTCCATATGCACCACCATACGCAATGTGGAACAAATCTCCAGCGTACATCTCTTCTCACACAACATCCTCTCTAAGCATGAATCAACTCCTTAGATGAACGTGGCATTGCCCAACGCATGCCAAACAACCCAAGAATAAGATTCCAATAGTCATGCGCCACAAGGTAATGCATGAGGATATGATCAATTGACTCACCATCTTGCTTGCATAGGTAGCCCCAATGGACAAAACAATTCCCCCTTTTCCTCAAATTATCAATCGCCAGTAGCTTACCCCAAACAACGGTCCATACAAAAAATGCTACCCTAGTTGGAGCCATAGAACACCAAATGGTCTTCCACGGAAAGTCAAGGCGATTAAAATTAGATAGAGATAGGAATAAAGATTGCACTTCAAAGCGACCACGGGAAGAGGGAATCCATGTCAGATCGTCACTTACTCTACCAACTCCTTCCTGCCGATACAACTGATGACACAAACCTCGTTCAATTCCCAATCTTGAAAGGGACGTTGAAAGTGCACATTCCACGTAATCCCATTGCTATCAAGTCGATAACAGTTAGCTACGTAGGCGTGCCTATCAACTGCAATACTATATAGTCTGGAAAATGTGTGAGCTAATGGGTGATCACCACACCAAAGATCTTCCCAAAAACGAACACATCTGCCATCAAGAACTTTGAATCTAATATGAGAAGAGAAGATGTCACATCCCTTCCGAATGGATTTCCACATGCCAACTCCTCCCGTAAGGGTAACCGGACTAGTAGACCAGCCACCAATCTCTTCCCCAAATTGACATGAGACTAACCTTTGCCAAGGACGATGTCTTTCCCTCCCAAATCTTTATAACCATTTGCCCAAGAGAGCTTGGTTAAAAGGAACCAGTCTTCTAATACCAAGACCCCCCAACTTTATAGGCTTGCACGATAAGGTGATAGTTAAAACTCTTCTCCTCTTTTGCCCCAAAGGAAGTCCCTTTGAATTTTTTCAATCCTATCAGCAACGGAGCATGGGATTTGGAACATGGATAAAAAATATGCGGGGAGGCTCGATAAAGTACTCTTTATAAGAGTAACTTTACCCCCCTTAGACAAATATTGCTTCTTCCAACCTGCTAATCTCTTCGCACACTTGTCAATCATAGGGTCCTAACTGCCCACTCTATCGGAAGAAACCCCTAGAGGCAAACCCAAATAAGGAATGGAAAAAGAACTCACCCTACAACAAAGAATTGTAGCTAAAGAAGAAATATCTTAAACATTCCCTATCGGGACAAGCACGCTCTTAGCCACGTTAACCTTCAACCCGGAAACTGCCTGAAAACAAGCTAGGATACAGCTCGAATATCTAAGTTGAGACACAATAGCATTGCAAAAAACCAAGGTGTCGTCCGCAAAGAGTAAATAAGAAATCTCCACCTGATGGACTAGATCTCGTCCCACCTTGAAGCCCTTAATAAGACCAAGATCCTCAGCCCTTCGCATAAGTCTGCTTATGCCCTCCATAACAATAAGAAAAAGGAAAAACGACAAAGGATCTCCTTGTCTTAAACCCAGAGAACACCCAAAAAAAACTAGCGGGAGATCCATTCACAAGAACTGAGAACTTAATTGATGAGAGGCAAGTCTCAATCCATTTCCTCCATCTACTTCCAAACCCCATTCTTTGCAACAAATAAAGAAGGAAATTCCAGTTCACATGATCATATGCTTTCTCAATATTAAGTTTGCATAAAACTCTAGGAACACCACTACGCGACCTGGAATCCACACATTCTCCAGCAATAAGAGCAGAATCAAGAATTTGCCAGCCTCCAACAAAAGTATTCTGGGAATCTGAAATAATCCCATCCATTCTTTCCTCATCCTCAGAGCAAGCACCTTAGCCTTGAGCTTGTAAATACAACCTACTAAGCTAATTGGTCTAAAATCCTTAATATTAAAGGCGCCTCCCTTCTTAGGGATAAGGGCAATAAATGAGGTATTTAGGGACTTTTCAAAGACACCAGTAGCATGAAACTCCTGAAATGTACCCATCACCTCGCTTTTCACTACCGCCCAACTTTCCAGGAGAAAACGCATGGTAAACTAACGTAGCGGAAACGATAAAGAATAGGGTTAAACCTTTGAACTCACAAAGAACACACTCACAAGAGAGAAATTGAAATTATATTGATAATGATGATGTCTGTAGACTTACATCTCTTGCCTTTATATAGGAAAGTCCAAAAAAAAAAAAAAAAGTATGCGTGAAATAATATTAAAGGGGAAATTTGAGATTTGATGGAGTAGAATCCTCCTTAAATCTTGCAATGGAGAATAATATCTTCTATTGTTGGCAACTACACCAAATCTCCTTTTGACTTTTCCTTTTTTATTTATTTATTTTTTATAATAATTTCCTTATTTTTTTCCTTCTATTCTCCTTACCTTTTCAGCCTCCCTGATTTGGGACGATCCTGTATGTTCAGATAATCGTGAGCGAGCTGTTCTACATCAGTCTCCCCTGCGTAAAAAGAACTCGTTCCCGAGTTACCCGAATCTGGCGGATAATATTCATGTATGTCAGCCACATTGAAGGTAGAAGAAATGGCCATGTCAGTTGGTAAATCAATCACATAGGTGTTGTCGTTGATTTTCTTTAGAATCTGGTACGGACCATATTTCTTGGCTTAAAGCTTGTTGTATGTTCCCACTGGAAACCTCTCTTTTCTTAGATACACCATAACCAGATCCCCTTCTTCAAATACTATTTTCCTTCGTCTCTTGTCAGCTGCGGCCTTGTATTTGGCGTAAGTTTCTTTTAGATGTTTCTTGACACTCTCCTGAATGGTCTTAATGTGCTCAGCCATTTTCTCTGCAGCAACACTCTTCCCTGGCAACTTCGGTAAGGATACCAAATCCAAAGCAACTTTTGGAGGACAACAATACACAACCGCAAACTGGGATTTGCCAGTGGACCTGTTAACCATGCTATTGTAAGCAAATTCTGCCTAGGCAAGAGCAAGATCCCATTGTTTTGGTTTCTCTCTTAAAATACAGTGAATTAGATTTCCAAGGGTCCTATTAACCACCTCTGTTTAGCCATCAGTTTGGGGGTGACTGGTGCATCTGAAATTAAGAGAGGTATCGAATCTCTTCCATAAAGTTCGCCAAAACTGAGATAAAAACTTGGTGTCCCAATCTGAGCTAATGGACTGTGGCACCCCATGTAAATGAACCACCTCCTTAAAGAACAGATTGGCCATTTGGACTGCATCATTCGTCTTCTTGCATGCAATAAAATTGGACATTTTGGACAATCGATCGACCACCACAAAAACAGAGTCTGCTCCTCGCTGCGTCTTCGGCAACCCTAGAACAAAATCCATGGATAAATCCTCCCATGGAGCATTTGGACTAGGCAGCAGTGTGTAAAGACTAGTATTCTGAGATTGGCCTTTATTAGTTTGGCAGATTGAGCACCGCGGCACATGGTTCTCCATGTCACGCTGGAGTTGTGGCCAATAATACCGTT